GCTTTTGGTAAGTTCAACTAGTGATGAAAATCTGTCACGAATGGTATTCGATAACTTATCAAAATACCTTACCACCAGAACCAGACACTTTGTTGTTGATACGTCCGTGGTTTCGTCCACAATCAAAGAGAATTTACACGTTCTGAGATCCGATACTATTCTCTTCATTGCTTCGTTCCCTAAAATCTCTGCTAGCTGGGTCGATTTGGTTCTGCCGCAGCTTAAAGACTGCGCTATTTTTGAGTCCGGACAACACACGGCTAGCAAATTTGGCAAATAATCCATAAGGATAAATGGAAGATTATGTGCCATTATGAACACCACTAAACTGAATTCTGCGTTTCGGATTTGCTTTTCTAAAGTATCATTTTGTTCTTTAAGAAAAGAATCTAACTTCACTTGGCCCTTTTTCAAATCTTTCGCTTTATGTGAACCGTGTTGATTTTCGTAAATAAATTTTTAAAGGCGTGATGAAACACTCAAAATTTCTTTGTATCATACTTGTAAACATTTTCATAAAAGGGACCAAATCAGAAAAAAGTGGACCAGTGGACCAAACGTAAAAAAAAGGACCATTTTTGGTCCAATTGGACCAAAGTGGCAACCGTGAGAGGCTGGGCATTATCTCCGAGAGTGCTCCCAAGATGATAATTTCCTTCTCTCTCTCTATCTCTCTCTCTTTCGCTTGCTCTCTCTCCCACCAAATTTGATTGTCATACGAAAATGTTTTGCATAAATTAAAATTACAAAATCACCACCCCTCCCCCAATATCAACACACACAAAAAAACAGAAACGAAAACAACAACAAAACATGTCAACATATGTTAACGGAAAATTCTCTATTCAAAAGGATTTAAAAGCGGCAACTTTTCAATTGCTGATGCTTGTGTTGGGGAGAATAGAAGCATTTTCATTAATTGTTTGTGAACACATTTTATGAATAGTTAATTAGGTGGCGGCCAATGAAGAGAAGAAAACTGCCAATGAGTAGCTGAGACAAGAGAAAACAAGACGTCCCAGGGGAATTTATAGACTGCCAGACGCGTTACATGTCCCAACACAGCCGACGGGACAGACAGTAATTAAAAGTAGGTGATAGGTAAAAGTTTATGTTTTTGCATCAACCTCCCACCACCTCACCTTTGCCGACATAATTTTCTCGTATACTTGTTTTTTTCTTTTTGTTTGTTTGTTAGTTGTTTGGCCTTAGATTCACTACTACTAATGCTTTGTTAGTTATCTCCTTTTTTGGGGGGATGTGATTTGAAGGAAAATTTTTGATTTACTTTTTTTGCGTTATTGCCACAGAATACTTCCTTGGGTTTTCAATTTGTATTTATTTTCATGGAAAATATTTGCACTTTTTATTCAATTTTCGTTGTTTTTTAAGTTTTTCTTTTTTCTACAATTTTAATTTCAATGGTATTTTCATAGATTTTCTTATCACTTCGACTACTGACTGCCAAAAAAACTGTATTACTTTTCTTTTCGATTTTCTTTTTTGTTTGTGTGGTGCGAATTGTGAATTGTGCGAGAGGAAAACGACTTGTGATTACCGCATTTATCTATTCAACAATTACAATTGATTTCCTACCACCGACCAACAACCAAATTGGCAAAACAAAAACACAAGTTCCGTTATGCTCTCACTCTCACACAACATCGGTTCTATGCTATACGCATGACCCTTTTTCCGGTGCATGGCATTGCCAAATCGAAGAAATATCTGGGGGACGTTATTTTGAATTGGTTTTGTTGGAAATTAAAATTCGTTTTTATAGAAACTATAGAATAATATGGTTGAATGGGCCATGGCACAACAATCACAAAGTGTGGCAAATTAATTGGCTTGTCAGAACAAATAGTTTGTGCGTCATAAACAGAGATTAATACAAGGTGGGATAAAAAAACTGCAACAAAGTCAAACGCCATAATTTTTAGATTTTATTTAAATGAAAGCCAAAAATGTCGTAAATAGCATCAACTTATAGAATAAGTTCAGATTTGTTCGAATTGGTCAGCTTTGACATGAATTATGGCCTTCAAACGACCAATGAATCCGTCACACGCTGCCCGAATGTTGATCTGCGGTATTTTAGCCCATTCATGGCAAATCGCTTGCATGTGGTATTTTTAGTAGCAACTTTGCTTTCCAAAAATACTCCAGACACAATAGTCCAACGGATTGGTATCCGGAGACATTGGTGGTCATTGTGCTCTGGATGAAGGAATGAAGCGAGGAACCTCATTTTGGTACCATTCTTGGGTGCGATGGTGCTGAGTCCTGTTGGAATGTCCAAGGTCTACATCCTCCAGAAAATTTAATTTTCGATTAATACGAGCGGAGAGCGACCATCGGTTGTTATGGCAACCCACACAATCATCATGGTCGGCGCATGAGTTCTGGTGGCCACCCGAAGGTGCACATTTTTAGCTCTCTTTGGCAAGTAAACCCGATCATTTTATTGGTTTACAAACTGCTGGAAAACGAATGTTTTCTCATCGGAGAAAACCAAATTGGCAGTCCACCATTTTCGGCCAACCGAAGCAACTCTTTAGCTCTTTTGAGTCTATTTTCTTTCTGTTGCGGTGTAAGTCGTTGCACTTTTTGGAATTTCAATGACCTTACCCCGAGCTCATTTTTCAATATTTACCGAATAAAATATTGCAATATGTTCAGCTCACGAGCCATTTTTCGGCCACTGCGATGCGGGTTTCGATCAAGTCGAACCATTTCTGCTGAAGTTGCTGTTTTCTTCTGTACACTTCCTTGACGTCGGGCTACGCTACCAGTATCACGGTAATGAGCGATGGTACGAGACACAAAAAATGTATTCACATTTAAATGCTGGAGTGCTCTAACAATAGCCACTTGGGGTTTTCCAGCCAAATATAAAGAAATCACACTATCACGCTTGAATTCCATCACGAATCATTTTTTTTTTCTGGAAAATTCTCACCAAGATGCTTTTGTACGCTTGTAAACAATATAATGAGCTGTTACTGGAATAATTTTAACGGCTGTCGGATGAGTGAACACGAACATAACCTGTTTCATATAATTTTAAATAACTCTGCGTGCATAGCCTCAGGTCAGTTTTTCTTTAGTTGTACTAAGCTGTTCTACCTCCGTATTTTACCATGTTCATAAGTACATTGTATATGAAAAATCAGAGTTGAGAACCTGGAAAATCGGTTATGGGAGTAACATTTTTACATTCTTGCAGGATTTGGAATAGGGGCTGGATTCCTGTTATATGAAAATATGAAATGAGAAATATTTCCTTTATAAAATTTAGCATTTGACATTTCTTTCTTTTATAAAAGTTTTTATTGCACATTTTCATAGAACAAGAATTGATACCCATAGCATATATTTTATTTCTCTGATTTCGTCTTTGGTTAATCACTTATGCTAAAGCAGACTAATATTTGATATAAACAGTTTGCGCCTTAAAGTATACTATGGTATAAACAATTATAAGCATCATTACGGTCGTAGTAGAAGAATACAGGTAGCTGCGCTAACGCTAAGGAACATTGATATGTCAACAATTCTAAAATGTTTTTTTTTTTTCAAATCTAACAGTACGTTTACATATAAAGGGTTAACCCACTAGATTTGGATTAAAATTGGCATACTTCAAATAAATCCTCTTAAAGTAGGTTAACCCTACAAAAAGTTGTAACGTAAACATGGCATAAGTAAATTGTTATAAGTTATCATATTCAAAACCAATCGGAGGTTGTTATGATACGCATTTTTCAACAATTTTTAAAAAAATTGAATAATATTTCATTCAAAACTTACACTTTCAAAATTAGTTTGACAGTTCATTGCATGGTACAATAAAAAGGTAAGGTAGAACTAACAGCTGATTACAATTTTTTTTGTAAGTGTGCCCGACTTCTGCCAATTTTGTGTATGCATTTATTGTTGTGAAAAATGAAAAAAATATTTTAACAACCAATAATTGGAAGACATATGAATTGCTGCTCGCGCATTAAAGCTATTAACCAATATAGCCATGAAATTGAATGATTGAACAGTTAGGATCATATTTTTTAGAGAAAAATCCAGACATATTATTCATTTTTCGCGCTTTTTAACTCATTTTAAAAATGAGGAAAAATATGAAAAAATAAAAACAATAATTTTGAATGAGTCTGACAGGAAGCGGGCATTGCCCCAGGGCTGTACTTTTGTAGTTTTACGAAGCTGTTCTACTTCCTTATTGTACCATGGTTCGTTGTCCCAGCAGGTGGATCGATGCTACTACCTGTATTCTTCCACAATGAATGCGCTTAGGAAAATTAATATGTATATAGATATATGATATATTTCAGTACCTCCATGAATCTACTACTTTTGCCATTTTCTTCGATATCATAGAAAGAAAATCGTATACCGTAGTAAAAACTTTAAAATTTTCGAATTTCTAAAACAGACCAAAAAATCAACCATTCCATAATCATGTCTTATATGACGTATGAGGCTAATATTTTAGTTTTTATATCCTTCCTAGACTTTTATACCCTTCAAAAGGCGTGAAAATAAATAAAAAATTTGGTCAGAAATAAATGTAAATTTCTTGACAGCTGTACGCTCATAAGGAAGAACTACATAATTTATATTTGACAATATATGGACATTATATGATTGCATGAAATTGCTTTTAAAATAGTGCCATGCGGTTACATTTACAAAAGGTAGACAATTAATTGCCATATCTCTAAAAAAATCATATATTTAAAGGAAAGATTTGAAAATGAAAACCCGATAATTTGAACTTTTCCTTTATTTTTCCCTATATTAAGGGACGCAAAACTGGACTATAGAGAGATCATATAAGAACGGCTCTTAATATTTATATCCAATATCTTATCATATATCCCCTGTTCTCTTCTACGTTGAACTCATTTGCTGTTCTGAGCAAACAAATCGATTAGTCAATAACTCATTGTCGGCCTACATATCCCTCACGCTATATGACAGCACACTCAGTTGTCAAATTAAATGTCAGTGGGTTTGTCGGGCAACTATTCGTGTTACATCATTTAAGAAAAACAACTTTCCACAAAAATAATATAGTTTTTTGTTTAATTTGTTTTGTAAAAACACCAAAAACGCATTGTAGAACATTAAATGCTGTTGCCCTTTTCAACACGCTTTGGAAACAGCAACAGCAGTGAGTATTTAAAGACAATAAATCGTGTAGAAAAATGACCGAAGAATCTAATAATCAGGTTAGTTGAGATCCGAGAAAAGATGCAATACAACACATCATAAAACGAAGAAAAAGCAATAACAACAAATCAATAATAAATGTCCAAGTAAAATCGCTTATAATGTTAAACTTTTGCGTAGAAGTGAAATTCCTCTAATATCCTTCATTGGAATTAAAAAGCGCCCATTCCCGTTCCATGCAAGCTCGGCAAAAATCTGTTCGTTTGTGTTTTCTTTTTGTGTATATTCCATTCGCGTGTGTATGTGTGTCGCGTATTTATTTCGTATACGTGTGGCTGTGTGTATGACATATTTGCAATTGGCTGGCTATTGTTTGTGGTGCGCAATATGTTTATGACCAGCCAGCCAGCCAGAGGCAATACACCTCAGCAAACTTATGAATTGTTCTATAATTGTGTGCTCAATCGAATACTCGGTGAAATGGATGGAAATCATCTGCCTATATTTTACGTTTTAAAATTCATTGTTGTTTTCCCTCCTCATCCACAATGTAAACGAATTCTAGTACACAATTATTATTAGAATTATGAACAAATATTGCTCGTAAATTCGAATGATTCCTTTGCTCTTCAAGAGGAGTTCGCATTGTTTTGAAAGTGTGGTGGTATAGCAATGTTTCAGTCACAAAACTCACGTGTTTTTTTGACATCCACACATTGCTGGCTCAATTGAGAGTTGTTCTTGGTGAAATCGAGCGCCGCAAGTTGCATGTTTTTAGGCGTTTTTACGCAACCATAGGCAATGTGTTATGCAGGAAACTTGCAACATTAACATTTCAAAATAATGTTTTTTTGATAAGATTCTATGGTGTCAATTTGTGGCGAAACGACTCTAGCTTAGTAAAAACTCTTCGATTTTTTGCGAAATTTTTTTCCAGAGGTAGGTGTTTTTGCCCTGAATACGGGAAACTTATTTGTTGGGGGACGGCCCGGTACCCCAGATTTTTGAACCGAACGTCCGGGTTCCAGACCCGGGCTACAAGTGGATCCACTTACCCGATATAAAGCATATAGATACTGTTTGAAAGCTTATGAAAATAGCTATCCAACAAGTAGTCACATTATTTAAGGCGGTTATGGTCAAATTATCGATTTTTTGGACCGCGATTTTTTATAAAACGTCGAAAAAGGGTCCTTACCTTTTCAAAATACAATTAAAGATTTTTACTAGAGATAAGCCTTTTTTGGCTTCGTATAAAATTTGAAATTTTTTCTTGGCTAAATCGTATAATCACTACAACTGTTTCCATCATGGAATGCATTTTTATATTTTCGTTTGGGGTATTTATTTTGGTTCCAAAGGGAGAGGAGGATAAATGAAGAGAACGACGATAAATAATAAATAAATAGTAATTATGACTATGGGTCGCTTGGAAATCTTCGTTCATAATCCCTAACTCTAGCTTAGTTCCCTCCGCACATTGGCGCTTATCAAAATAGGGTTGTTTAGATATGTTGAATATAATTGTTAGAAATTCGTACCATCCATTCTGGTAGCCAATTTTCCATATACGTATTGTCATCAAACAAAGGAACCTCCAATATTCGATTGATTACCAAAAATTTATCAATGGAATTTGTTGAAATTTGGTATCAGGGCCTCAATTCTTGTTATGTGTTCTTTATAAAGGGAATGTTTTTCATTTCATATTTTCATAGAACAAAAATCTACTCCCAGGTTAGGTACATGCTGCACAGCTTCACCAGAGTCCACAGCTGCTTACACCTGAGACCATTGGTCCCAGGAAGAGTGAGTGATGATAGATTGGTATGGAAGAAAGGAAATAAATATCTCGTTAAATAAAGAGTTGTTTAACCATTATTATTATGCTTTTGGAAAACCTGAGGATAATGATGGGATGAACGTCTAAGAAGAACGTCAGAGTTTTAATTACCCACATACGAAACAGCTATTTGTTTTTTGCTTGACAGCGTGGGCACATTAGGTGTTCAATCGTTTCTGCCTCTTCTTCGTCCTCGCATAGTCTGCAGAAGTCGGGATCACTATCCATCCCATCTAGAGGTCAGATATTTGATACTGCAATGGTCAGTCAATATGCCCACCTATGAATCGTGGTGGAAACGGACCCACTAATTGATAGAAGGGATTAGGTTCTTTTTATCGATATTGACGGCCAAATTGCTTTAGATAGCTTGCCACCGGTTTCCAAGTGCCATCATCTGTCTGCTTCTTCGAAGAGAGCATTTTTAAACCGATTGAAAGACATAATAGCTTTTAGGTGGTTGATAACATCTTCCATCGGGTGAGTAATCGACCACCTCGAGCTATTTCGTCAACCATTTCTTTCATCACTATAACAAGTTCCTGGTAATCAAAATGACATATACCGCTCAAATATTGAACATTGGAATATTTTCATCATTCCTACATTCCAAATGGTTGTGGATATTAGATGTAACTGCTCTTTGACATGTTTTTCTCGTATATGGACAATTCTATTTTCTGGGCAAATTTGACATTTATTGTTATTCTTTCACCGATACTGTAGCTGAATGCTTTATCAACTTGACGAATGTTGCGGCGTTATCTTATATCAATATCACCAAAAAGCAAAATAGTTGATTGAAGTTTAACTGCACAATTTCATGCAGTTCCTTCACTACCTGCTTAAGGTGCTTGCGATATACGTATATGTAGATTATAAACAGAAGGACTTGTACTGTGTTTGGATTTGTATTATTATTCTTTGATAAGATTTTAATGACATTGACAAGTAAACATGTAAAGTATAAAACCAAACATTCAGTTTATTGCCTTGGCAAATTTACAAAGCATTCATATCAACGATACACACAAAAATGCATTTCGTAATTTTAAGAAAAAAAAAAAAACATTTTAATTATACAGGGTGAGATGAAAAAACTGCAACCAACTTCAGACTGTTGTCATTTCTAAGCCACTCGTCTGACAGCTGTTAAAATTATTCCAGTGACAGCTCATTGTATTGTTTACAAGCGTACAAAAGCATTTTGGTGAGAACTTTCAAAAAAAAAGTTATTCGTGATTGGCTGGAAAACCATAAAGTGGCTATCGTTAGAGCACTCCAGTATTTAAATGTGAATAAATCTTTTGTGTCTCGTACCATCGCTTGTTACCGTGATACTGGTAGCGTAGCCCGACGTCAAGGAAGTAGTCGGAAGAAAACAGCAACATCAGCTGAAATGGTTCGAAAAGTAAAGAAGCGACTTGATCGTAACCCGCGTCGCAGTGGCCGGAAAATGGCTCGTGAGCTGAACATATCGCAACCGTTCGGCAAATATTGAAAAAAAAGCTCGGGGTTAAGCCATTGAAATTCCAAAAAGTGCAAGACCTTGCACAGCAAAGGAAAGAAAATAGACTCAAAAGAGCTAAAGAGTTACATCGCTTGGCCGATAGTGGTGAACTGTCGAATTTGGTTTTCTTCGATGAGAAAACATTCATTGTCTAGCAGTTTGTAAAAAACAAAATGATGTGTATATTTGCCAAAGAGATCAGCTGAAAATGTGCACCGCTACACCGATATCAATCCGTTGGACTATTGTGTCTGAAGTATTTTGGAAAGCAAGGTTGGCACTAAAAATACCAAAGCGTCGATTACCTCAAGCAAGCGCTTCGCCGGCAATGGGCCAAAATATCGCAGAGCAACATTCGAGCAGTTTGTGACGGTTTCATTGGCCGTGATTCGTGCCAAAGCAGATCAATTCGAACAAATTTAAACTTATTCTTAAATTTGTTGCAATTTCCAACATTTGTTTGTAGTGTTTTTTTTTATCTCACCCTGTGTTCATTAGTGTATAACGTCGTCAGATGTTGAGTAGCAAGATGCCATCGGATAAATCCCTTAGGATAATCTTAGTTGTCGTCAACCCAATTGTATTCCATTTCTATTTTATTGCGATGTCTTGTTTCGTTCAAAAGTAATTTGATATTTGTTGCGAAATTCTTTCAAATGATTCATTTTTCTAATGCATGCCTATGGTCTGCCTATTCCCCCTTACTGTCACATAAACACACAACAAAATACCCCCAGCTATCTACATATACAAAATGTTTGGCATTTGTGTTAACCCATTTACTATAATTTTCATGGATTTTAAATACTAGAGAAATTATAGACCGTCATATACTGAGAAAAGAATTTTTAAGATATTAACAAAATTTTGATTTGAAAAAGTTAAAATGGTAACGAATGGGTTAATCATCAACTGCGTACATATTTATTATCTCCACACTATTGTTATAAATATTTATTATCAATAATATTCATTGACACCTTTTCTGTTTTTTGTTGTTATTTATACCTATTTTCTTATTATTATTTTTTGTATTTTTCTTTCTTTTCTATTTTCAGTTTTAATAGTAATTTAAGAATTGCATCCATATTCACATTATATTCCAACAAATCAGAGTACCCCAAAATAAGCTAGTGCACGGAATAAATTCTCAACCTATTTTTGTTGTAAATAGAATAGAAGCTGCATAACGTTATCAAATTGGGAAAATAAACAAAGCAAAAAAACATTACCTAAATCTTTTGGTTTACACACTTTGATTTCTATTGTTTATGGAGTAAATATTTAATAATCAAAATTGTGTGCTTTTAATGTCAACTCAAAATTTATAGAAATTTTCAAAATTTGTCAACAGAAATCAGAGTGCCCCCCAAAAAAAAGAGTTCTCTATTATTTAATTCGATTTGATTTTATTATTTAATTTATTTTTTATTTTCACTATTAAGTTTAATTTTTGAGACTATCATAAAGAAAACAAAAGTAGAAGAAAAAAAGATAAAGATAACTGCTCTTTCATAATTAAAACAACAAAACGTTTATTTTCGTAAATAATGGCGGCCTATTTGAATCGTACGTTTTCAATGGTCACTGGTAATGGCGGCGACGCCGGCAACTCTTCCAATAATACGCCCCAAACAAACACAAACCACCACCACAACAAATCCATGAATTACGATCCGACGGCAATGATGTCCGAAAATCGAACAATGCATATCAATGCCGATAAATCCCCATTGCAGGTATTCGTCAGAGCCAAAAAGAAGATCAATGATATCTATGTGGAGATTGAGGAATATGTTGCAGAGACCACAACATTTATTAATGGTAAGTTTAATAAAATTATTTTATTTCATTTATTTTCATGTTTTTGTCAGATTTTACAAAGGAATAACAGTGGAGTTTGTAAATTGAATATGAAGCTGATAATGGATTATGGTTTGGTTTAAGGATGTGCAGATACACAGGAGTCGACAACTGCTTCACTCGGGGACCTTTGGTCCATTGTGTTTATCATAGGAAGAATAAAGTTATTGGTGGTAGGAGAGATAGAGGAGTGACAAGAAAATAATGTATTTATAGAGAGAAGCATCTTTAGCAGGGTAGTGTGCCAAGCCAGGCAATACTTTTAGCAAACTTGTAGATGATGGTGGGATCTATGTTTGAGAAGAACGTAAGAGTTTCTATCTCCCACCTACAGAATAGATGACATGGGTCATGGGTTAAGTAGGTGTTCAATAGCCTAACTTTTCATGAACCTCACATAGTCTAAAGTCAGATATGAGGTCAGATATCTGATACTGAAGTGGCCAGTGGCTACCGCGATTCTTTGGCTTTAAATATCCTGCTGCCAGTATCTAAGTATCATCTTCTTCCACCTGACATAATAGCTTATTGATGGTTTTAAATTCTCATTAATCAGTAGGTTAATCGAATGGGAACCACCTCGTGCTAATTCATCACTTCATTCCCCACTATATTTCTATGTCTTGGTCTATGAACATGGTCTGCGGTGATGAGAACAGAGCTGAATGTGCAGGTCAACGGAAATATAATTCGGAACACAATCTATGCAAAGATTGGGGTCACATCCGACAGCATGTTCAAGTCGCCATTAGGGAGTTTCGTCAGATATAAATTGAACAAAATGTGCGAAAAAACCCACCTTGCGTCATACCCGTTTTGATCTTGGGGTATTTGGTCAATTAGCTCTGAAATTCGACGAGTACTTGCCTTTTATTAAGGTACTTTGAGAGCCAACACTTGACATTATTTGGGAGGTTGGCATTCATGAATTCAAACCGAAGTAGATGAAATTTAATATTTTGGAATCGTAATATGTAGACCATATCTTCCCTAAAATTGTTTAATAAAGATCAAGGTTTTTGAAAGACCCCCATAAAATGGGTCCTTCATTGTCGGTATTTTGAAGGTCTACAATTAAATATTTTGTAAAGAACTATCTGGAGAAAATGTTTAGTACACTTTTCTTTAAAATAAAACCACAACATGATTGTCGGCTTCATATAAAATTGTTCAATCAAATGTTACCTTTATTAAAATTTCTAAACTAAATCATTAAATATTTGCAGCTTTACATGCCGAAGCAGAAATTGTCGACAAAGCAGAACGTGAATTATTCGAAAGTTATGTCCTGAAAGTGGCCGGCATTCGTGAAGTTTTGGCTCGTGATCACATGAAAGTGGCCTTTTTCGGCCGTACATCGAATGGAAAAAGTTCAGTGATCAATGCCATGTTGAGAGAGAAAATTTTGCCCAGCGGCATTGGTCATACGACAAATTGTTTTTGTCAAGTGGAGGGCAGTGATAGTTCAGAGGCGTATTTAATGAAAGAGGGTTCCGAAGAGAAACTCAATGTTGTGGTAAGTTAAAAACAACCTAAATATTTATTTCAATTCCATAATATTAACTACAACTTGTATCGTCTCTTAACATTTTTTGTAGAACATCAAACAATTGGCCAATGCATTGTGCCAAGAAAAGCTAAGTGAAAGTTCCTTGGTACGCATTTTTTGGCCACGCGAACGTTGCAATCTGCTGCGTGATGATGTGGTCTTTGTTGATTCTCCTGGTGTTGATGTCTCAGCCAATTTAGATGATTGGATTGATAATCATTGTCTGAACGCCGATGTCTTTGTTTTGGTCTTGAATGCCGAATCCACCATGACCCGGGCCGAAAAACAATTCTTTCACACAGTTTCACAGAAATTGTCGAAACCTAATATCTTTATTCTAAACAATCGTTGGGATGCATCAGCCAATGAACCCGAAAGTCAGGAATCGGTAGGTATAATTACATTGAATTTAAGAAACTCAAATGTAGTTGATGGCATTTTGGTTTTCTTTTATATATTTTTGACTATCCTTTTTTACTACATTTTGATTTTGTAAACTTGAAAAAAAAAATAAATAAATATAAAACTACAATTCCAACAAAGGAGCTCGACAAGGTAAAGATTAGTATACCTGTTGATGGATGGCTAGCTTTTGATTTTCTTTAGAGCTTCTAAGCTTTTTATTGCTTATATTTTTAAAAACCTATTAAACTATCAATGTTTTTCCTTTAATTCCTCTAGGTAAGATCCCAACACACAGAAAGATGTATCGATTTCCTAACAAAAGAGCTGAAAGTTACCAATGAAAAGGAGGCAGCCGAACGTGTTTTCTTTGTATCAGCTCGTGAAGCTTTACAGGTAAGAAATGAAACATCTTTTTTTGTTGGGATAATATTTAATATTGCATTATTTTGTGACAGGCCCGCATCGAAGAGGCCAAGGGCAATTCCCCCAGCCAAGGCGCCATTGCCGAAGGTTTTCATGCACGCTATTTCGAATTCCAAGATTTTGAACGTAAATTCGAAGAATGTATTTCAAAGAGTGCCGTTCAAACGAAATTCGAAAAACACAGTTCACGTGGCAAAACATTATCGGGTGATATGCGTTCGATGCTGGACAACATCTATGAGCGCATCACAATATTCCGTAATCTAAAATTGGATCAGAAGACATTGCTAAGTGAACGTATCCAAGGCACAGAAACTGAAATGATGAATGTTACACGTGAAATGAAGTTGAAAATTCACAATATGGTGGAGGAAGTTGAACAGAAGGTGTCCAAGGCACTTAACGAAGAAATCTGGCGTTTGGGCGTATTAATCGATGAATTCAATATGCCCTTCCATCCCGAACCATTGGTCTTGAATATTTACAAAAAGGAATTAAACAGTCATGTAGAAGCTGGTTTGGGTTCGAATTTGAGGGCACGCCTCTCGATGGCATTGGCCACAAATGTTGAGGCGGCACAACGGGAGATGACAGGTATGTTGTTTCAGAAATTTATTTTACTCTTTATTCTAATATGTTCTGAATTTTTCCCGTATTCCTTGAAGTTGAAAACCCCATCCTAGAACTCTTCAAAATGATGGCTATAATTCTTTCCTAATGGTTTTGAAGTTCAAAACTGTTTTTTAGCAAAACTTGGGAATTCTAGGGATCTTATCTTAGAACTCTTTAAAATGATAGGTTCGGTTAAAGAGAGCCTAGTTGTTTTAAAACAACTACTCCACTCGGAGAACTTGTGTTTTCTCTAAGAGAAAAAAATAACACGAAGGAGTCAACGTTTTGTCTTTAGCCACTTTAGTCTTCTGGCTAATCGGAGTATTCCTGCCGTTTCAGTGTCGGAGAATGAAAACATATCGTTCAGGATTTGCTTCGCATTAGCTTATATTTCACACCGAACTCCGTTGGACAGTGGCAGAGTAAATTTTCGACCCTTTCAGTTTCCTCCTCATCTTGGCGGAGCCTGCAGTAATCGGTGTCGTCACCCCACTACTAAGTCATGGCCCTTATATAACAGTTACTAGTGATGACTTCCACCACAATTTTAAGATCTGATTTCGGCATGAAGATGAGCAACCTTGATATCTTCCCGGAGAGTGTTGAACTAATTTTCTTCGAGACATTGCATCCCCCTTCATTAGCCAATTTTGTTGAAATCTCCTGGAGTAATGTTAATATATTTCTCGGAAGAAATGGAACAAGGGTGGTTTTACATAGTTGTCGATCTCTAAATTGATTGATTTGGATCCACGTCTTGTTAATTCATCTGCTGTTCCATTACTAGATATATTGCAATGGACTGAAACCCAACAAAACTTAATGGACGACTTTGCTTTTTCCAGTGCATTCCAAGACCCCAAAACTGTCATAAGTTTAACGGTACATGAATTTAGTGCTTTCAGACCCGCTTGACTATCGGCGTACATAGTCACCGAGCCGTTCAGTTCACTGTTCGCTGTTCGCACTTTCTCAGAGTTTTAGCGGGTCCAGACGTCTCTGTTAGGTGATATATAAGCACTGACTTTGACCCCGGCTCATATGTGTTCCACATACCCTAGAATCGCAGAATGTCCAAAGGACAAATAGATTAAAGAGATATAAGTTAAGAAGGGTGCCTAGTGCAGTTTGGGGTGCACTCCGAAATTCACTTCTTATCAATAGAGATACCACTCTTGAATCTTTTTAATGCTTCTGGGATGGGGAGAGAATACGACATACTTGGCTACCGAGATACTTGCCTTCTAGAAGTTTTCGTTGATTGTTTAAAATTAGCACCTTGCATTTGATCTGAGATTGTTTGCAGGAACTTTCCTCCAATCCTGATTTGAATTCTTTTCGTAAAACCAGAAGTGGCTATCATTAGGGCACTCCAGCGATGGTCGCTCTCCACTCATATTAATCCACCGTGGCATCAAAATAAATGACGAATATTATCGTGAAAATATTCTGAAGGGTGTATTAAAGTCTTGGGCACGCAAACATTTTGGCCGCAGACATTGGACATTCCAACAGGACACAGCACCATCTAAGAATGGTTACAAAATGAGGTTCCTCGCTTCTTTTCCAGCGCACAATGGCCACCAAAATCTTCGGATACCAATCCGTTGGACTATTATGTCTGAAGTATTTTGGAATGCAAGGTTGGCACTAAAAAATACCAAAGTTTCGATCACCAAGCAAGCGCTTCGCCGGTAATGGGCCAAAATACCGCAGAGCAACATTCGGACAGTGTGTGACGGTTTCATTGGCCATAATTCGTGCCAAAGGTTACCAATTCGAACAAATCTAAACTTATTCTAAAATTTGTTGCTATTTCCGAACTTTTTTTTACTTTTATTCAATGAAATTAAAAAAAAAAAAAGTAAAAATTATGGCGTTTAACTTTGTTGCAGATTTTTTATCTCACCCGTAGCTTAACGTATAGGAAGAGAACGGATAGTCTGATTTGGTTCAAACTTTGTAGATCGTGATATTTGCATTACCGCAAGATCGGATGCGATAACGGACGAGATCGGACTACTCCTTCTAGTAACTCCCCCACAAAGGGTGCAAAATTTGTAATATCTAAAACGCTCATGAAATGCGAAATATACTGAGATTCTCTTCAAACTTCACACATGCCAATATTTTTAACATTACAAAATCAGGTGTAGAAATGGGGTATAGCGGACCACTCCTTCTGGTATCTCCCAATCAAAGAGTAAAAATTTTGCAGTGAAAATCAGTGAATAATAATTTATAGTGCCTACTAGATCTAAAAGGAACATTCATTGTCATTTAGGCGCAGAGGAATTTATAAAGAAAATATCCTAATTATCCATCCCTCCAAAAAGTTATTATCCCTTCCTCATTAAGTCTATTTCACTATCTTTCAACCACAAATGAACTTTATAAAGAAATGTCAGTTTGTTTATTTTTGATCGTAAAAATAAGATTAGATTATTCTCTTCAAAACTAATTTCATTTATTCATATACAAATCTGTAGAAACAATAATTTATTTATGTTGTCTTCTAGATCGCATGCATGCCCTGGTGCCGAATGAGAATCTATTGCCCCAAGCACAGAAAATCGTTGCACGTTCACAGCCATTTGAAATGCTCTACTCGTTGAATTGTCAGAATTTGTGTGCAGATTTCCAGGAAGATTTAGAATTCAAGTTCTCATGGGGTATTACAGCGATGATACAACGTTTCACTGGCAAAGTGAGAGAGCGTAACAGCAAGAAACAACCAGCCATACTCAATCGTCAAGGCAGTATTGTGGTAAGAACTTAGTGGTGATAAAAATAAAATGAAAACGACTTTTAAATGTTTTTGTATTTATTTTTATTTTGTATCACAGAATCCCGTTTCGCCCCTTACACCAGTAAATGATACACCATTGTGTCTTATACCCACACCGGTGGGCGGCATTAGTCAAGAACAATTGTCACTGATATCACGTTTTGCATTAACCTCAATTGGATCCCAAGGCACTGTGGGTGGCCTCATTGTGGCGGGCATTGTAAGTAATAGCTGTGGACGAGAGTGACTGCAATAAATTGTAATTCATTTTCATTTTTCTCGGCCACAAATTTTAGATGCTGAAAACCATTGGCTGGCGTGTCTTGGTAGGTGTTGGCGCCCTATATGGCTGCATCTATTTGTATGAACGTTTATCCTGGACAAATTCAGCCAAGGAACGTGCTTTCAAATCCCAGTATGTGCGTCATGCCACCAAGAAATTGAAAATGATTGTTGACCTAACATCGGCCAACTGCAGTCATCAAGTGCAACAGTAAGGAGGAATTGTTGTGTATTGTTGTTATTTTTCTAAACAATTTTGTTTTCATTTCTATTTTGCAGAGAATTGTCAAGTACATTTGCCCGTTTGTGCCGCACCGTTGATACTGCCACCACCGACATGAATGAAGAACTTAAGACCCTTGAAGCCCAACTCAGCGTCTTGGAAGCTAATCAAAAACAATTGAAACTCTTACGCAATAAAGCAAATTACATTCAAAATGAATTGGAAATATTCGAAACAAATTACATAGCACCCAACTAGCAGCCAGTTGCAACACATGTGATGTCGTCACTTGCTTAACCAATCTGATCTTAAGAAGTTTATGATTTAAGTAATTCATTCAATGAAAATAATTCATTCATTAAGATTTTGTAAATTAAAATAAGAATTGTGTATGGCTGTAAAGGCGTTGGTGGGAGGAAAAGAAACAAGTCATTGCATGAAGGAAATGAGATTAAAAAAGAGGGAAGAGCAAAAAGGATTAATGATATTGTTGCACATTTATCTCATTATGGCATGGATTTCTCCTTAGAATTACGACTCTGACAAAACACAACAAAAAAAAAAAAAAAACACATCTTTACAAATTTCTCCGCGCAGTTAAAGATTGTCTTTTTTATTTTCTCTTTTTTTCCTACAAAAGAAAAACAATTTATTTTTTGGATCGATTATTATGTGCTCATATTTATATTATTGTATTATTATTTCAAATCCCATCTGAAGACCACCCCCCTACATTTTGGTTTCTCTTTAACTGAGTTTCATATATTTACACCATGCAAACAAAACCAACTTTGGTCCGTGTCCAAAGAACGATGTTGATAACAATAATAATTTCTAATATTTTTACAAATGTATGTAGCTTAATATCTGATTGTGTGTAAAAGGAATTTCGTTTAACAGAAACTTGTTTTGCTTTATTTTTTTTTTCTTATTTACAATTATATTTGAGTAAAATGTTTGTTGATCTTATTTAAATAAAGAAAAAATATGTTGTAACAATAAAAGAAATAACATAACATTAAATTGGAAATCCAATTGTGCGTTCTGTTTTTTATTTCCATAGAAGGCGAATTTCTTTGTATCATTCGATGAAATTGAATAAAGAAACTGAAAGTATTCAAAAATGTGTGAGCGATTATTAGTCTACGTAAACTCAAAATTTACTCTGTTCCAAAACCTGCAAGAATTTTACCGATATCATAAAGCGAAAATCGGTTATTGCTGTAAAAACTTTTCAATTTTTGCAGACCAATTGCCTTTAATGACATAATTTAGTAAGTATTACCATAGATTAAATAACGCATAGACACAGGAAGTGTTGTTTTATTTCCCTACCAGTTGAGTTGAAAACGGAAGATGCCTGGACAAACCTTCGATCCATTGTATTCATCCTAGTAATAAAGTTATTTGTGATAGGAAAGGTATAGAAGCGAGAAGGAGAAAAATGGATTTATAGAGAGAAGTATAGTTAGCAGGGTGGTCTGCCTAGCCAGGGAATGCTTTTAGCAAATAGCCTATGTATCTTATTGGATAAGATGGAATGGATCTGCATAGTAGGTGTTCAATCTTCTCTACCTCTTCTTCATCTTCACATAGTCTGCAGTAGTCAAATTGCAAATGGTTTTTCTTAATCATAACAGCCCAACTCCTTTTTAAAATTTTACTCAAATGTATATTATGTCTGAAGGACTTTTGGTATTGAAAATGGGCCATATAGGTCCCATATAATAGTACCCGCTATTTTCGGTATTTTGGTGATTTAAGCGACATAATTCAACGGAATTATCTCAAATTTGGTATTTAAAGTTCGTAATGGATACTACAGCCTATGACAGAAAATTGTCTGTGAAGGTCCACGTCTTCGTATAGCCCCCATATAACGGTACCTCCCGATATTCGATATTTTGAGGATTTTATCGACATTATTCACCGGAATTGTTTCAAATTTTGTATTCGAAGTCGTAATGGATACTATAGCCTATGACAGAAAATTGTCTGTGCAGGTCCACGTTTTGGTATAGCCCCATATAACGGTAGCTCCCAATATTCTGTATTTTGATGATTTTAGCGACATTATTCACGGGAATTGTTTCAAATTTGGTACTTGAAGTTTGTAATGGGTACTGCAGCCAATGCCTGATGCCTAGCCCTACATACGGTACCTTCCGATATTCGGTATTTTGATGCTTTTAGCGACATAATTCACCGGAATTGTTTCACATTTGATATTATTTGTCTATACAGACAAATTGTCTGTGCAGGTCCTCATCTTCGCATAATCCCCATATAACGATACCTCCTTTTAACGGATTTTTTTCTTTTTTTTTGAAAATTAGCAAATTTGTTCCAAATGGTGTAGGGTATTCAAAGTTTGACCCAACCGAATTTACAGCTTTTTTACATGCTTTAGAACAAAATGTATGCTCTCAGTTTTAGAATGAAATAAAACTGTGATTAAAAAAACTCAAGTTCTCAACAATACAAAATACACACTTTAAATCATAATAAAAAATATTAATTTTTTTATATTGTATTTTTTGTAATTTTAGAATGAATCATTGCTCTACTTACCAAACCTCTTACATTTCTTTCAATAAAAACACACATGACAATTTAATTTGATTTTTTATTACAATATATAATATGCATGTTTGTTTGTATGTGTATTAAATTACATTTCATGTTTTTTTTAAATTATTTTTTGTTGCTTAAATTTTTGCATTAGTCGTAGTTGTTTCTTTATTATTAATTGTAGTTAATAATTTATGTTTACGCAACCTTTGACCTTCTTAATTAAATGGCTAAAAATTATACTTACAAATACGTACAAATGTGTATTATAGGGGTGCTATAAATTTTATATTTTATATTTATTATTTTTTATCATATAGTACATACATATGTAAAACATTGGACCAAAATCTTCATCATTGATGGTTTTTAGATTACGATACCTTTTATCGGGGGAAAACTTGATATCAAACAGGGAGAGTCAAAATAAAACAAGTTAACTCGAAATAAAAATCACGTTTTGAGGGAAAATGACCTTAGGTGCTCAGAGGATAGACTCAGAGGTTTTTTTTTTTTCATTATTATTTTTCAAATTTTTATCATGCGTATTTAAATAATCTTAGTCAGGTTTGCAAAAAAATACAATTACATGAAAGTCACAATTCATGCCAGTTGAAAATAAATGCAATCGGTGCTGGAAAAAATGGACAGAAAGCTGGGCGGATATTCATAAATGAACACTGAAAGTATCGCTTTTTGCATAAATGAAAAAGGTTATATCTGTATAACAATAAAAACTCTCCTAATCCAAATATGTTGAATACCTCTGATATCAGAAATAAAAACAATAATAGTTCCATTATGTAGTTTAGATTTTTTCGCAAAAATTATTTCAAAAAATTCGTTGATGAAAATAAAGGTAATAATAACGGTTAAACTAAATTTAGCAAGTAAAAAAACATTAACATCGGCTAGACCGAAATTTAAATATCCTCCACTTAACTAAATATTCAATGTTCTGCCAATGGGCTAGAATCCATTTTGAACTAAAAATACAAATTTTTATCAAAATATGGAGTGTCGGCAGGCACTGTTATATGGGGGGTATACCAAAACGTTCAATGTTTCGCCACACGAGCTACAACCCATTACGAACTGCAAATACCAATTTCTGGACAAACCCGTTACATAAATGTGGCAAAAATCATAAAATTGCTGAATATCATTAGGTGCCGATATATGGGGGCTATACCAAAACGTGTGCCTTTACATACAATGTTTCGCCGCCGGAGCTAGAACCCATCATGGCCAACAAATCCCAATTTTTAGACAAATCCGTAAAAAAAATCGTGACAAAAATCCTCAACATACCGAATATTGAGAGGTACCCTTATGTATGGGGGCTATACCAAAACGTGGGCCTATACATACAATGTTTCGCCACCGGAACTAGAACCCATTATGACTTACAAATACCAATGTTTAGACAAATCCGTGGAAAAGTGTGCAAAAATCAATAAAATACCGAATATACCAAAACGTGGACCGATATATATCATTTTCAATATCTTATAGGCACAATACAAATTGTTCTGCTAAATTTTGATCTACGTCGGTACCTACGTCAAATAATGTGGGATGTATCGTGATTTCAACGGACAGGCGAACAGACACACAGACAGACGGACCAATCCCACGGCAGCGGGTTCTACGACATCGGATTGACCCGAAACAACAACACTTCAGTTTCGGCCAGCGGCTGCCAACCCAGTGTATACATGTTCGTGTTTGTTTATTTTTCTTTATTAGGAGCAGCACTTCCCAGAATGCTTACTCCGGATTCTTTTGGTCCGTGTCGGGATTGAGGAAAACCGCGGACCATGGTTCTGTACGGTTTGCCAAAACATCATCCACCATAGATCAGTCTCGGTGCGATGTAATGGATGCGGAGGATGGGTGGATTTTAGGAACTGTTCCGGTTTAACCCGGTTGCGAGACTATAGCGATAGGGACTATGTTGCATCGTGCTGTACCAACATCGTTCCCAGTGAGTCCACGACCTCGTCGTCAACTTCTGAGTTGTCGTCGGAGTATGGGACTCCCCCGCAGTCTCCAGAACAGCAACCTTCACCGCAGAACCTAACGCCACATGTTGCTTTTCAAATTCCGGACAGTGCATCATTCTTGCAATTCAATTGCAACGGACTCCGAGGTAAAATTGAGGAGATAGTGGATTTTATGAATCGGAGGAATATTAAGATCGCAGCGGTGCAGGAAACTAAGCTCAATGAAAACTGTAGCTTACAACGTTGAAAAGGTTACAACGTATTGAGGAAAGATCGCACCAGAAGTGGAGGTGGGGGATTAGCGTTCCTGATACACCATTCTGTTCAATACAGACCTATCTTGCTTGTGCTAGTCTCTAGTGACCTGTACATAGCAGTCAAGTGTGGAACTGCCAAGGTAGAGGTGCTTAATGTGTATATCCCGCCGGTTAATAGCTGTGAACCGCGTTACTTGCCTAATATAACCCCACTTTTGGAAGGCAATAACCTCCTTGTACTAGAGGATTTTAATGCCCACCATGAGTTGTGGCATTCCGTCCTAGGTAATGACTAGAGGGGATCAGCGTTGGCAGAGCAGATTGACTGCTCCACATTTTGCACGGTAAACGAGGATGCCCCAGCGGAATAAGAGGATGGTGTCACAGTTCGCCAGATATAACCATTGTGTCACCCGGTCTGATAAATGACGTGACTTGGCAACCCGTCATTTCTCTTGGCTCAGACCATCTCCCGATAATCGTCTCCATAAGTAGGTCGCCCGATTTCATAACCTCTGAACGCCGCACTTTCCTTAACCATGGGATAGCCAACCAACCTTCGCTTCATAGAACTGCCCAATCCCCTACTGATGTTCGTGTAGCAGAAAGGATTTTCCTTGACATCATTAAAGCTGCAGCCGCTCGCTATATACCTGCTGGTCGAATACCCGAAGTAAGACCAAATTTCCCAGCAGAGGCAATGTGACCCTACGGATCCCAGAGTCAGTGAGCTGAAAGTGGAAGACAACAGGTTGATACAGGAGTATAGGCGGAAAAATTGGCTAGACTATCTGAAGTGTTGCAAAATTGGAACCTATTTGAGTAAACTGGGGGTAACGGTTATGTCACTCTCGATTTCTGGGAAAAAGGATGATAGGACAGCAGTCACATTTAACGACGTAACGGTGACTGATCAGAAGAGGTGTGCTGACCATTTCAACCGCCAATTTGTCGAGCACCCCGAGAGTGATAGGGCGAGGCGAAGAGTATAAGAGCTCTTCCTGCCGACGATGTACCTCCACAGTTTACGATGGATGATGTTGCTGGGCCCGGACGAAATATCAATGGTAATGTTGAAGCCACTGGATATGCCAGGAACCAAAGTCCTTAACTTGTCATTAGTCACCCACATCGTTCCCGAAGCCTAGAAAATGGGCAGGGTGGTCCCGCTACTGAAGCCTTCCAAGGAGGCCAGC